CTTATCACAATTAATCTTATCAAACAATAATTAATACACGAACAAGCATGCATTCCCCTTCTTTATATATCTTGGATCCTTAATTACATATGAATTTAAATTTACCGGTGCATTCATGCTATACATCAGCAATATGTCAAATCAGCAACCTTAAAGAATTGAGATTGTATTCCAACAATAATTAATATTTAATATATATGTGGTGCATTTACAATTGCAGGATTGGGTGGACTCAAGAATCTCAAGGAATTGATTCTAGACGATAACTCTCTAACCAATGAAGGCCTACCCTCAGGCCTTTTGAATAACCTCTCTTCACTGGAAGTACTCGACATGTCAGAGAACAAGCTTACAAGTTTACCAACAGGTACCAATTATATCAATCTTACCTACTCTTTATTTCAAAGTTTCTTTTATATATGCAAATTGGTTTGAGTGAGACCAAGTTCGACCCAACCATTATCCTTTGGTTATGTATTGTAGGTAAATTTATTTTAACTTTATTATTTTTATCACCTTCTATTAATTTTAGTATTTAGTGCTATAAGTTTTCAACTAGTCATTATTATTTTATAATTGATTTTTAATTTTATTATATTACTGGATTTTATTAAATATTTCTTAAATATATTTAATATTATTAATTATCATTCTATTTTATATTATTATTTTTATTATTTCAAATGAAATTAACTGATATGAAATTGTAAAAACTAATTTTCAAACAAATAATTCTTACAATTTCAATAATTTCTAATAATTTACCCATAATTAAAAATGATTTACTGTTAATTATTGGAAATAATATAATGATGATAATTTACCGATAAATTTTATTGTAAGTTTTACACATTTTGAAATTTCAATAATTATCCTACTACTAAAATTACAAAAAAATTAATAATTATTGTTGTTATTATATAATTTTCAATAATTTTGAAATTATCAGAAATTTCTATGGAACCGGTAATTGTAGTATTATTATGAAATTACTGAAATAAAAAATTATTGAATAACAAATTTTTTCATAGGCAAAAGAATATTTTAATCATCAATAATTATTAATAATTATCAATAATTTTTTTATTGTAGAATTATTTAATGATATGAATGGTAAATTAAAATAATTATTGTCAATTTTTATTAACACCTGACACCACGTAACAGCTTTGTGACCATTGTTCAGAGAAGAATAAAACCTTCCTCAAAAGTCTTGTCTCAGCTTTGTGACCAAATCCCAACCTACAACTCTCGAATTCAAATTACAAACAAAAAGCCTTGTCTTAGCTTTAACAAGTCTCACTGGCTAAAAGAAAACGATTCTATTTCAAATGATAAAAACCTAGGTCAATGAGCGATTCTATTTCAGATTATAAAAGAAAAGGTTACACTGGTTAAAAGGAAACACATCGAGGGATTTGAGAGTATCTTATATACCAGCAATGTTTTATTTCAGAAACAGTAGGGATACTGTAAGACAATAGTTAAAATAATAAGATTTATAATTAGGGGTGAGCAAGAAAAACCAAAAACCAACCAAAATTGAACAAAAAATTCGGTTAACCGAATTGGTTGGTTCAGTTTCGGTTTGGTATTTTTTAAAACCCAAAGGTACTGGTTCGTTTACGGTAAACCAAAATAGAAAACCAAATCTGACCAATATATATATATATATATATATATATATATATATATATATATATCTATGTATATTTTTATATATATTATAAATTAATTAATACGCATTATATTTGAATATATTTATAATATATAATATATTATTTATTATTTAAAATATAATATTATATATTTCTAGTTTTATATTATATATTTATATATTACTTTATAATATATTGTAAATATAAAAACTGAAAAAACGATGAATCAAATCAGTCAATCGGTTAATTGGTTTGTCTTTGGTTGAATTTCGGTTACTTGTTTTCCAAAAACCGATAACCCCAGTTCAGTTTCAAAAATAGGCCCACGATTCGGTTAACGAACCGTGAGCACCCCTAGGTACAATTTGACAAGTAGATAAATAGTAGGGGTAGTTTAAGAAATTTATCCTAATAATTATAGATAATTTATAATTTAAAATTATAGATAATTATTTTTAATAATGAATAATAAATTGATAACAACCCACTACTACTCGAACTAGACTGTCTTCCGCTACCACGACAATGAGAAACTGGGCTCCCTATGAATAACAACCGCATCTATTGAAGGCAATTTCTATTTGTTACTTACTTTACCTGTGGTCGTGGATTAAAATCTCCGATTAATCCAAAAGGAGAATTTCAAAGGCAACCGCATCATTCTATTTCTCTCTTTCGAAATACATCAGGCAACCGACCTTCTTCTCTCTTTAGATTCTCCTGTCTATTGCTGGTAGGGTTTCTTAGGAGGCAAAAATGGTGTTTCAGATCTGTAGCTCCCTCTTTCTTTTCACCAATGCTTTTTGAATCCAAACAAGTTTGAACTCCGAACTGGAATCTCCCTCCATCTTTCTTGTACGTTCTGTGATTTTAGCGCCACAATAGCTATGTTCCATGGTTGTCTGGCTCTCAAGGTGGGGGAATGCCGCCCGACGTCTCAATGGAAAATGTGTTCATTGAGCATTCTCAGCCACAGATTGGTGAGTTATCCAACATAATCCTTTACCCACCTCACAAATTGAACAAAATTACAGAAACCCAGTTGCATTTTTTAGTAATTCCGAGACCCTTTTCTCCATTCACCGTTTTCAATCCATCCAAGCCGAAACACAACATGATTCACGCCACGGTACGATGAACATGAAAATCAGGTACAAATTTGACATAGTTGATTCCGACAGGTTAAACAACCATTGGTCCCACCCGATATTTGAATTCTCGGCCGGAAGAGCTGATGACGAACACTGGCTCCCACCAGATGCGTTGCTCTATGTGCTTTGACTTCTAGCATCAATCGCCTTGTTAGGGTCCACTTTGACAGACTGTTTCTAAACACTGGTAGCTAGGATAGAGACGTCATTCCATTTGTAAACCTCTTGCTCCGACCGAGTAGAATACAAACCACAAAAGAGGATTTGAGGCTGATTTGAGGTTGTGTAGTCAAGCTAGGTTTATGCTGCTTCATCTTTTCAATTTTCTTGTTAATGATAACCAACGATTGTCAATTGTCCAAAAACTTTGGGATAGGGGTGGGTGAGTAAATTTACTAAACCTTAGTGGTACTTTAGGCTCAGTTTGGAAGGAGTATAAATGCAAATATGTAGAATACAAAACCTTATATTTTATATTATTCTGTATGCATTTGCATTCTACATATTTGTATTTGTGAGCCTAAGAAATTTGCCCTAATATCACTAACATCATGAAAATTATTATTGAAAATATAACATTAATGATTTGTAATTCAAAAATAATAATATTATCAAAATTATTATTGTAAATTTGACATAGTTTTGCAAATTTATAAATAATTATTGAATAATAAATTTACTGTAATTAGTGAAATTCTCTTATTGATCAAATTTATGAAATAACAAAAAATAATAAACGAAATTATTGGATAATAAAAATTATTTAAAAAATTTGTAATCACTTTTATTATTTAATTTTGTTAATTTTCGTTGTTAAAATTATTGTACTTAATATGATTATTTAATAATTGTTATTGTGTTTATTTAAAAAAATTATTATTATTACTATTCAAATAATACTTGTTAATATTACTAGTTTTCTCAAATTAATAATTTCCACCTTTTATTTTCAAAAATTACAGCTAATTTCTCAAATTAATAATTCGGAGATCTCCTGTTCACCTGTTTGTAAAGCACCTATTTGAGTTTGAACTCTGCACATTCACATGGGTGGTTTCTAGATATATGTTTTATTGGGAATAATATCTCAAAGAAAGAGAAACTTAGAATCAGTTTGAGGAAGATATGATGCAAGGATGATTTGTTGCCAAGTTTAATATATTATGGTATCAAGCATAGGAAGAAAGAGAAAATGGATTATTGAACTTCTAAAATTACTTTTTTTTTTCTTTTAAACAAGAACTTCTTCTAGTTTCAGATATATTATGGTATCATCTTTTCTTAAACAAAAACTTCTTCTAGGTCCAATTGATAGTACTCAATAATGAATGCCATGCCATTTAGTGAAAGAAAAGCTCTAACTCGTAGTTGATTGAGAAATGCTAGCTTGTTATATGAAATATAGTATAATACATCTTCATACTTATGGATACGTCTCTTATATTCTCTTTACAGGGCTCTCTCAATTGAGGAACTTAAAAGAATTGTATCTTTCTAATAATGAAATTACGGGCAACATTGCTCCTTGGATTTTCAACAACCTAACTTCACTAGAGTCCCTTAATCTTTCAAATAACCAGTTTTCTGGAGAGCTCTCCTTCTCTATTTTTGCTAATCTCTCCCAATTAACAGGAATTGGTCTTTCCAACAATTATAACTTGGATGTTGATACTGAGTCACCATCTTGGATTCCATCTTTTCAACTAAATTATTTAAATCTAGACAATTGCAACCTCAATAGGAAGAGTCGTAATGTCATTCCAAATTTCCTCTCCACTCAATACAAGTTAACAGAAGTGTCTTTAGCTCATACCTCTCTTCAAGGAACCATTGCTCCCTGGTTGTTGTACAATAATACTTCACCAAAACACTTGTCCTTAAGGGGTAACCATTTAGTTGGCCAACTTCCAGAAATGCCTTTCCAAAATGAAACAACAAGATTGACCTTTCTTGACATTTCTGACAACCAAATCGAAGGGCAGCTTCCTACAAATATCGATGACTTCTTTCCCAGCCTACATTTTCTTAACATGTCAATGAATAAACTTGAAGGCAAGATTCCGTCTTCATTCAATAGGATGTGGCAATTAGGAGTGCTAGACTTGTCTAACAACTTCCTAATAGGAGAAGTGCCTAGTGGATTATCCCAAAACAAAACCCTCTTGTCACAAATAATCTTATCAAACAACAAGTTGCGTGGTATGCCAATATTTACCAAAATGGATAGCCTAGCCAATTTACGTCTTGAAGGAAACTGTTTCACAAAACCCATCATAATCAATGCGTCAAGTGTCCCATCTCTTTTCATTTTGGATCTAAGTGAAAACTATTTGCTTGGCTATCTTCCAAATCATCTGCCTATTCTTCCAAATTTGGGTGTTCTTCACTTAAGAGGAAACCATTTTTTTGGCCAAATACCAGAGTCATTATGCCAAATGACAAACTTGCACACATTAGATCTTTCAAATAACCATTTGTCAGGGAGCATACCTTCTTGTCTCAACAACATTACATCATGGAAGGAAAAATCTGCACTTGAAGAGTTTCTCCCTTATTTTGATCAAGGATACCAAATGGACAGTGAAGTCGAAATCAATTTTGCCACCAAGGGTAACATGCACACTTACCAGGGTGATCCTCTGCGTTACATGACTGGGATTGATTTGTCAATGAACCAACTAACAGGTCAAATTCCAACAGAAATAGGAGACCTGAGAGAACTCCACTCATTGAACCTTTCCAATAATTTTTTGGTAGGCCATATCCCTGAATCGTTTCAAAATCTAGAACAAGTGGAAAGTTTGGATCTTTCTCACAACAAACTTGAAGGAAGGATCCCACATCAAATAACCAAACTCAATTTTCTTTCGACCTTCAGCGTGGCCTTCAATAACCTCTCAGGCAGGATCCCTTATGAAGATCACTTCACTACTTTTGATAACAATAGTTATATTGGTAATGATGAACTCTGTGGACCACCGCTACAAAAGAATTGTTCCTTGTTCGGGAACCAGCCACCACGGCCTAAAGGCAATGACTTTGGAGGTGGGAAGAAGAAATTGTTAGCCAAGGTCATGGATGAAGACTTGTTTTTCTATTCATACGTGGCTATTTGTTATGCATTGGGTTTTTGGGGTGTTATTATCCCACTGATTTTGAGCAAGAATTGGCGTCGGAAGTACTACGGAGTCATTAATGGGTGCATTGACAGGTGTAGAGAGTGGTTGTTACGATTTTCATTTTATGTACATAATTATTTTTAATTTCCAATGTAGACAATGTGCTTATTATAAATATATATTATTTTTGAATACATATAACATAATAACTCTCATTTGCCGTGTTGTTTATACTTTATTTGGTAGTTAGAAAACATCCAAACAATATGGATATTCTTATTTCTTCCTTGAAGTAAAATTATAGTAGTTTTTACAGAATTACAGTGAGACATAGTCTCAATGTGATGTAAGACATTAGTCTCAAAATTTAAGAAAAAATTAATTAAATTTTATAAATGATAAAAATAACATGTAATATGCAATGTTTGAATGATAGAATGTAAAAATATCTATAAAATAAAAGTTTATAAACAATAAGTTTTAAACAATAAATTTTAAATTTTAAGTGTTAAATAAAATAATAATTAATCATCTAACAATTATAAGCATTTTACATTTTATGTTTCAAACCAAAGTTGTAAAGCTTAGGCCTTGGGACAAAATCTAAATGCCTCACCTCAAGGCATACGCCTCACGCCTCTGAGGCTTAAGCCTTTTTAAAAAATGGGTTTCGTAGATTGAGAAATGACTGACCACACTTTCACTTTTCAAACACTGGATTGGAATAATGATTCTCAGAGGGTTTCGTTGAAAAAAGGGGGAATTTAGTGATTAAGACTTTTACCTTTGAAACCCAAAACACCGAGGTTCAAAATATCAATAGTCTTGACACCTTGTGTATCAAGAGTGTATAGAAACTCTGTTTTGTATTTACTACTTTTAGAATTTCACAATATGAGAATGTATAGCCCTTATTAATGATTAAAACAATTAGAAACTGAAACTTGATTCCTCTCATTGATATGTTATGATATTTTAAACCTTGTAAAATATCATATATTTTGTCAAAAAATAACAAGAATTGAAAAAATGAATTATAGAAAAAATGCAAAAATTTATAAAAACCATATTTTTCAACCAAAATTTATTTTTGGTAGAAATCAGCCAAAAATTGGAGAAATTATAAAAACAACCAAATTTTGAGATGGTGGTCACAAGACTCACAATCCTAAAAACTGGATTTTGGGTCAAATAAACAGTTCAACGTCGTAAAATAGATATCAATAATTGTGGGCTGCGGACAAGATTCAACAGTGGAATTATTTGGATGATTGAAAGTCTGGGACAGGGTCTGTACTACGCTTGAAGACTTAAAAAATTAGAATTCTTTGGAATAATCACCAAAGTCTTTAATTCGTTGACTGTTCATGGAATGTGGCCGGCCTGTATCTGTTTGTGTATTCCACAATTATAAAAATGGAGTATGGAGGTTGTGGTTGTGTAACCCGCGACCCGGTGGCCTGCAGGTCGAATGGGTCAGGGGGTTCACCTCCTATTTTAAATATGAACTTCTCTCTGTTTTTGATAGAAAAAAAAAAAAAAATATATATATATATATATATATATATATATCTGAACTTCTCTCTCGTTTCTCTACAACCCCTTTCCACCCAAGTCAACAGTTCCACCAAACCTTCATCTTTATCTTTAATGGAGATTGACTGACGCTCTTAGAAACATCCAATCTTATCTCTTATCTATTCAAAAACAATTGGAATTCTCGCCACATCCAACTTCTCCCAAGTTCTATTTTTATCATTAAACTTTAAAATTAAATTTCTCTCAACGGCCTCCGACACTGCCTTGAAAGTATCTGCACACCATGCATGTAGAGGCCGGAATCCTAAAGACTACAATTCAAATCGCCCTTCTACTGAAAGGATCATTGACTGTGCGAACTTAGATTCAATCCTCACAAAACCGTATTCACACCGTCCTCACAGTTAAATGCAGTTGTGCATTGGGATATCTCTCCATGACTGTTGCAAGGAACTATGTACTCAAGCACAGTTCTAGAAATCAACAAATAGAATTAAAGCTTCAACAATATGACTGTATAAAACAAGACAAAACTACAACGCCCACCTTGACTTATTTCTATAGCCAACCTTAGAGATCCCCTGTTCCAACCTTTGTAATGCATCCCATAACAACACGCATTTCTACTTAGGTCCCATACCCAAGTTTTACAATCAGCTTCCGCAAAATGTGATGTAGGACTGATTTAATATATTATGATTAATCTAGCATACAGAGAAAGAAAAGATGGATTATTTATAATAATAAAATTCAGAATTAAAATATTTAAGGAATCCAAATTGGAAAGTTTATTAAAACATGGAGCAGGGAAACACAAGCTTTAAAATCCAGAAATATGCAAGTTATAAAAGCTTTTACTAGGAAGAATTCTTTATGTGGTCTCAACATGATAGTTTATATATAACGAATACTTAATTCTAAAACACAAATCTTCTTTCCAGTGTTTGCTTAACAAAAAACAGAAAGGAAAACTTCACAAACTAGCTCGACATGAGAATTATTTGATGGCCAATGCATATTAGATGGATAGTGGATATACAAAAGAAATTAGCTATGAATTCTATTCATTAAGAGAGAGAGAAAGAGAGGGAGAATATTCCTCTTCTCTTGTATAAAAACTTTCTTTGTTAAAATGCTTCTAAGGAGTATTCAAATTTTCAATTTTCATTAATGCATGTCATATGACAAAAATAATAATTCTAATTCTTAGGGTCTGTTTGGTTCACAGGAATAGAGGTCTGGAATCGGAATCGTTCATTCCAATTCCAACCATTTGGTTGGGTGGAATCGGAATCTGATTAGCAGAATGAAAATCCCCCATTTGAGGGAATGGCCATACCTGACCCACCCCAAAAATCGGATTCCCATTCCAGCCGGTTGAAACAATAAAAATGAAAATGACAGAAAAACCCCTCAAACCTCCAATTCAAGTTTCCAACCCTCTTTTTCCTTTCTCTCGTCACTTCCTCCTTCAAACCTTCTCTTCGGCGGTTGAACTCTGAAGGTCCGACCTGTCTTACTCCGGCCAGGTGATCATAGATCTCTCTCCTTTCCTCTTCTTCTTCTTCTTCGAAATCCACCCCCCATGCTCTGCTTCCACGCCTCCTCTTCCTCCTTCTTCCATCTTTTTTTTTTTTCTTTCACCAACTGAAATCGTTTTATGTTTCGCAGATCCTTTCCTACTCTATTTGGGATCAATGTACTTCTTCATTGCTACCATTCAAAAGTTCTTCACACCAGTCAATTCAGACAATCGGTGAGTATAGTTTATAGTTGAACTCACAGATTTTTGCACAGTTTTGTATGTAGTTTGTACGCCAAACTTGTTGTTTGAAAGCTCAGAACCATTGCTCGTCTGAAACTTATATTCCTCCCTACCTGGACTTTGAGGTTGCAATTATTATTTTCTTTGCTTGAGGTGTTTACTATTTTATCTAGTATAAACGAATCTTTATATATCAGTAGCTGATTGAAAATCCTAAAAAATATTCGATAATTTTTGTTGGTGATTCTATTTTATCACAGATTTTCGCAGTTTTCATTCTTAATTCCCTTTTCAATTTGGGTGGGGGTGGCCTCACCCATGGATTACTTTCCCTGCAAATGCCTCTTTTATTTAACAAGTTTATTTAAAATTTCTTTGTTGTTACAAAACTATTCCCACTTGACCAATTGTCTTTGGCCAGATCTGAAAAGAAGTGAATCTGGAAATCTAATCCAAGGATATTCCTTCTTAGAACATATGGGGGCAGTAAAATTTGGAGTCAAGAAGGTCACAAGCGTACCCTTGAGAGAAGATAATCTAAGTGGAGAATGCCAAGGAAATCGGGGTAGAGTTACTAATTCTAGAATGGGTGTTTTTGTCATTGCATCTGTGAAAAAGATGATGAATCAGGGACACTCGTCAATAAAAGTGCATGATGTCTTGCCCTTTTTTTAGCTTCCAAATTGCTAAAGTACACACAATTGGAGTTTTGATAGGGTGTTCCTAGCTAAGGTGGTGTTCGGAACTGTATATATTTTGTGGTCCATGGGATTTGGTCTCGTTCAGTTGGGTGTGGACTTCAAAATATCGTATATGGTAAAAAATTGTGGTTTGGTCCTTTCCATGATTGATTGTTGATCCTATGTTTCACTACTCTTTTTGAAACTCTACACATTACCATTAAAAGCTTTTCCGCCGCCCCTGCACCCTGCACCGCTGCAATTCCACACCAGTAAGTTTCTTTCAGCTCACTATTTCTCTGTTTCACATTATCGTTTCTCTGTTTCTCTGTTTCTCTCTCTTTCTGTTTCGCATAGATTCAAACAACCTGATGAATGTTAGCTCATTTCTGCAGACAAATAATGTTAGCTCTTCTTTTTATTATACAAAACTGATGAATGTTAGTTCATTTCTCTCCACCCGCTAGAATGAATGTTAGCTCAGGAAAAACAGGCATCTGCCATAAGACTGTGTTCTTTCCTCTGTCCTCTCCTCCATCCATTGTTCTTCCTTATACTTATTGAGAGCTGATTATCCAAAACATTTTGTATTCCTTGTCATTAGCTCTTTTCTTTGATGTCTTCCTGTCTGAGTCTTTTGATACTTTCCCTTGTATCAGTCAACAAGAAAACTGCATCATGAGAAATAATTAAATCTTAAAGACGTCTGCAATCTTCAACCACACTACCTTCTTCTTGAGCTGTCACTGAGTGTCCAGGCATTGGTATTGCCATTACAATGCCTTGAGCTTCCTGCAAAGTACAGCATAAATGCATGGATTGAGAAATAAACACACTTCCAAATGTTTGGACAGGTCAATGAGCCCAATCGATTTGGGCTTAGACCTATTCATGGGCTGGCCCGGGCTTTCACTCTGCATTAACAGATTTTTCTAAGGCCTGAGCCTGAGCCTAGCCCGACCATCGAGCCTACAACTTGGGCTCGAGCCCAACCCTCATAAAAATCCCGAAGCCTGGGCCTGGGCCCGAGCTCGAAATTTAGCCCATGTTGTTACTACTGCTGAAGCAGCTGAATAGAGAGGGAGAGAGTGAGAGAGAGAAATTATAAAGAAAAAATAAAAAATGTATATATTAAATTATAAATATATATATATATATATATTTCAATGAATATTATATTATTTATATATTTTATATAATATATAAAATACATATTATGTATTTTATAAAATATATAATGCTGAATTGGGCCAGGTCGGGCTTTTTTGACAAATCCCGAGCCCAGCCCATAACACAATCGGGCTTACTGTCTTAGGCCCGAGGTCAGACCCGTGGGCCTAATTACATGACCAAGCCCGACCGGGGTGCAGGCTGGACCGGGCCAGGCCATCGGGCTATCTGGCCCATGAATAGGTCTATTTGGACTCCACACCCGCGCCTTGGCATACTTTACCCCTAGGCCCTCCCTGGATGGCACGAAAAACGCTCCATTTACCAAGACAGGATCTGCTCCTCACAAATGGGCGCTTCACATGCACATCCACCGTGCATTGAGAACATCCCCATGAATAATAACTAAAAATAATAGGAAATGTTCCCAAGGTAGGATGTTTGTGTGAAAAGCCTACGAGGCGCCGGGTGTGAGGAGCAGATCTTGTCTCCAATACCATTATATCGCCCTTCATCCTCCAGTTCCAACTCGTCCACTGTCCACCCGCTTTGTCACCTGCTCCGACCCAACCCACACCACAAAGTGCATGTTAGCAAAAACACGGCAATAGGAGCGCATGGTATCGATAAATCCCTAATATTATAGTCTGTATTACTGTTACTACTATACTCGTAAAAAAATGTAGTGTATTACTACTGTACCTCCTCGGAATCCAGGTTCGACGGCACAATGTTGTGGTTGTCCTGACTGTTTATGGTGGTATTGGCACTACCGCCGATTGCATGCATATATCAGCCACTGCGTGAAATCATTGTTAACATGTGGATGTAGCCACGCCTATACCTGGGCATTTTCTGTATGATCCCCTCACCGACCGAAATGATTGAATGCAATGGTCACTTGCATTCCAATATCCAGTGGCCAAGCAACATTGTATCATTGTGATGGGAAAAATAGTGTTGGAAATGGTAATTCCAGTGGACCCCGTGATGGCATAAATCAGACCATCCGTGCAGTAGGACAGCGAGCAATGATCACTTGCATCCCGATATTCAGCGTATCTCGTTGGGTGGATATCGGAAAGTAAATGTAGCTAAAAAGAGCTTTTGTCAGTCAATTCTTTCGTTAAAAAAAAGATATTTATTTTTTTTAGCCTAATCAAAATCCATTAGAAGATATTGAATACTGAATGAAGAAGCCATCAAAATTGGATGCAAAATTCATGAAATAGAAAACAAGACAATTTGTCTTATCTGGAAATTCAAAATTAATCAACTACTTACAGTGATTCACTGAGTAGATCTTCTACAACAAGAATTGTTTCTGTTCTGATTCTGAAAACTCTAGGTATCATAGTTGATTAAAAAACCAAAATACTAGATCCAAGAAATCTGGAAACAAAAAATCAAAATAAAAGGAAATCAATGAAATAATAATAAAAGAGAAACAATAAGATAAGAAGCAACATTTTTTGAACAAGATGAAAAAAATAGGCAATAATCAATGCATTATAGAGGAATGGTGGAACAACGGCAAGTGAAATAGCGATTCTTACTGTTTAAATGGAGGAAAAAAATGACCAATGATGACAACTAGACGAAGCGGTGACAACAACTGGGATGATCAATGGTGCTGGCAACAGATGGAGGACGGCGACGACAACTCTTCAGCATTTGCGATGATTTGATGTAGCAGCAGCGAAGGCAGAGAAGCAGAACTCCGAGATACGCAGAGGTGATTTTCGGAGGAGAAACGCAGAGATACGCAGAGAACTCAGAGACACACATCAGCGACAGAAGAAAGGCAGAACTCAGCATTCTCTGTCTAAAAGAAATAATGGCATAGAAGAAGAAAGGTGTGGATGAGAAACGCAGAAGTTGATTTTCGGAGAAGTAGAACGAAGTGGAGGGAAACACAGAGGTGATTTTTCGGAGAGGTAGAGTCTGAACCTTTATATCTTCTAGGGGTAATATTGAGATTTTCTATTTTTATCTGCCTACCCTCCACTCGGGAAATCAACTTACCCGAGTCTCACAAGGGTATCATTTACCCGGGGAAGTGATATCCGGGTAAATCAAACTTGCTGTAGACCCCACAATATTTTGAAATCCGAACACAGGTAAATTGATCAATCGATTGTGAACCCACCAAACTTCCCCCCTCCACGGAAAACGACCATGGCCTGAGTGTTTGTCTCTTGGTATTGGCATTTGACAAGGGAGAAAACTTTATCTGAAACAAAGGCACGCACCATTTATAGATAGCAAATTTTGTCATTAATCCTCTTATGTTTCGTTTTATGTACAACTCTGGGAAAAGAGATAAGATAAAAAGACAACGGATAGAGAAAAAAGGTAACACTTCAGAGGGTAAGACTTCCTCCTCTAATCGTTTTCCTTTTCGGGTTTGGGGGGTGGTGGTGTTGGTGACTGGTGAGTCATTAGTGTCATTGGGAATGGGTAAAGTTATCCCTGTTGATAGGGATATTCACAGGTCAGCTTGGATCGCTTTGAGTTATTTTCTTCAACAGACTTGAGTTAGTCAGTTCATTTATTGATCAAACTAAAACTGATGGATCTTAAAGGTGGCAAAATCTACCCAAACATGAAAGGTTGGTTTATCACTGGTTTAATCAGTTTTATATATATCTTAAACTGAAATATCTATATCTAAATATCTATTTATATTTGAGTTTTTTTTAGTTTTTATGTAAAATCAAAATATATTTAAATTAATTAAATTTTTATGCAAAACTGATTTTTTGTCAATGTTATTTAAATTTATATAAAATTAAATTAAATATTGTACCATTATATTATATTTGTATTGGTTTTGCGCTTTTAGTTTTTATCATAAATAACCATTTTTTTTCAAAATTCAAACAAAACACAAATAAAATATATCAACATTTAACATATAGGGCAGGGATTAATTAGTAATTACTTAAACATGTAGGATTGGTTCGGTTTTGTGAAAACCGAAATCGAACCGAATTGTTGGCTTATTTTCTCATACAAACCAAAAACCAACTGGTGGCTTTGAAAAATTGACCAACTTGGATTGGGTCAAGCTGGTTTGGTCGGTTTGACATTTAATGTGAACACCGCTACTTGTTGAGGATTATTGTTGATGGAGAGCATGAAGAATATGAGCAATATTGTTCCCATGCTTAACCTATTCCACCAACAACAAATAAATAAATCTAGGCTAATGACCCAACTTCCTTTACAATATTCATATTTGTTTAATAATCAATGTCAAATGCTTCCTTTCCTTCTACGCAAAGGTTTTTCCGATTTTCAACTTGTTTCAGATTCTAAGGAACTAGCTAAATAGCAAAAGGCATTGCTACTACAATTCTTTGCTTTTTATTAGGGGTGTCTATGAAAAACCAAAAAAACCCAATCAAATCGAGAAACCTGAACCACAAAATGCGGTTAACCGAAGCGATCAATTTGGTTTTGGTTTGGAATTTTCGAAAAATCGAAGGACTGGTTTGGTTTCAATTAACCTACAAAAAAAACGACGGTTAACCGAACCGACCAATATATATATTTATATGTATACTTTATATATATTTTTAATATATGTCATATTTTCTATGTATTATATATAAATATGTATTCATTATATATATAAATATATACTTATATTATATTTATAATGATCTATGTATAGATATATTATATATTTTTAAAATATTTATAATATATTATATATCATTTATTATTTATAATATAATATTATACATATATTTATATAATATATATTATAAATATAAAAAACCAAAAAACCGAATTGGTCAAAAACCAAAACTAGTGGACCGGTTAACCGGTGGTACCGATTTTGTTTTGATTTGGAAAAATGGAAAAACCAGTACCACCGGTTCAGTTTACAAAAAAAGGTCATGGTTCGGTTAACCGAACTGTAGATACCCCTACTTTTTACTCTCATGGTTTATTTATTCAGAGGATTTCCTATCTAATTCATAGTTTAACTGGCCAAAACCAAAATACCTACTTACAAAGTGGCAAAAAGCATAACAAAGGATTGGGGGAGGATGAGGAAGCTTGGGATGCCCATAGTGTTAGTGGGGTTTTGGAGCTCAAAGCAGTTGGGATAGGTGAGATTGGCTTTGCCAAATTTGTTAGTGTCGCTTTTGTTGCAACTGAAGAGGTGACGGAGCTGAGAGGCGACACTAGGGTCATCGAAGATGTCTTCTCCAACAGAGAACTTAGGAAGGTTTTGGAAGATTGTGAGGTGATGGGCGATGGATGTAGTGACGGTGGTGGCAATGAAAATTTTCAACAACTAGGGTTTGCTTTGAAATTTTGAAAAACAATGGAGGGCAAATTGGACATTTAATTTTTTGTTACTATTTAACAATGATGTCAATTGTCTGAAATAGGGAAGGCAATTTTCCCCATCCTCGACAGGTACCGGGGTTCCCCGACCCCATCGGGTCGGGGATGGGGGGTACTTTGGCAAGGTCAGGGTCGGGGATGGGGGCTACCCCTGAATCCCCGATCGAGGGTGGGACGAGGACGGGAAATGCAATCCCCGCCCCGACCCGTCCCCGATTAATATATATAATTATATATATTATATATTATAATAATTATTATTCATTTTTTAAAAGATTAAAACTTGAAAAACACTTAAACAGTAAAAGGCTTGCCAGTTCGTCTTCGATAGAACCCTAGGTTTCTCTTCCTTCGTTAGTTCGTCTTCATCGCCGATTCGTCGACCGCCAACCGTCGTCGTTGACTATTGCCACTCGCCCATCGCTTCAAACATTGAACAGAGGACAGAGATACTCGAGTCTCGACAAAGGACAGAGAAGAGATACTCAAAGAAGAGTTTCAATTCTTTAATCTTCCTTCAACCTTCATCATCGTCGCTGTCGCCTTTCCCTTCAGATTCTCTCTCATCGCCGACCTCAGCTCTCGAAGCGGTCCTCTCTCTCTCATTCTCAGAATCTCAGTCTCTTTGAGACTCAAACTCAGTCTCTAGTTTGTCGGGGATTCGGGTCTCTGACGGAGATGAATTCCCCGTTAGAGTCAAGGATGGAGGGGGGGGGGGATCCCCACTAGGGATCAAGAACAGGGATGGGGTGATTTGGGGGTTGGGGTCAGGGATGGGAAATGTAGTCCCCACCCCGTTGCCATTCCTAGTCTGAAACAGTAGGAATACTTTAATACAATATATAAATAATAAGGGTAGAGTTAGTCAATTAACTAAACTATAAGGATAGTTTAAGAAATTTGCCCTTAATTTTAAGACAAAAATGAATATAAATATAAAAATTACTATAAGATAATAAACTCATATATATTAAAAAGAATATGTAATAACAAGAAAACATATAAATTAGCTATAAAATGAAATAAATTATGTTATATACATACATTATATTTATAGACATAAAATTAAAAAATATATATTTATACCTTTGGGCTTATGCCTCGAACCGCCTGAGGCTAACGAGTTACGCCTCGCCTCTTCGACACCCAAATGCCTCACATCCGCATTTAACCTTTTAAAACCTTACTTTTATATTCATGCAGCTATATTTTCCATTATAGTTAAATTTTTTCCCTTCTTGCAATATTGCTATCTTCCAATTTAGCTCTTTACTTGGTTTCATGGTTATAAAAAGGAATTTGAAACTTAAAAGGAAACAGTTAGATAAATACGATTCGAGCGGACTCAAACGAAGCTTTACGCAATTCAGTTTGGGCTTGGATTGGGGTAGGCCCAAGCCCGACCCGTACGGGCGGAACGCTCAGCGCAATCCCGGTCCCCGGATTTGATACTGCATCTGTATGCCACTATGCCAACGTTTGCCTCATAACTAGGGCACGGTTGGGTTCAACAGTTTTCTCCTTCCCGATCTGAAACAAAAACAGTATAAATCCGTGAAGCGCCAAGTCAAACCCCGCCAACTCCTTGAGGGCTTAAACCTGTAAGTTCTATAAACATCTTCTTTTAATCTCGTGCGATGTTTGGTTTTCGCTGCAAAAGACTAATCATCCAGCTACGGAGCAATGGGGAACTTCTCAAGTATCTTCAAAATCCAYTTTCTAAATYCATTTCCAACATCTCAAATTCTGCAAACGACTCCTCTTTTACGGTTTCTTACCTAGTAAACACTTGTGGGTTCTCACCAGAAACAGCCCTTTCACTTGCGGAGAAAGTCCACTTGGAAGACGGGAAGAAACCAGACTCAGTCCTCAAATTATTTGAAAAGCATGGGTTCACCAAAACCCAGATCGCAGAACTCATTTCTAAGCGCCCATCATTACTCTTGGCCGATCCAGTAAAAACCCTTGAGCCCAAAATTCGGTCTCTCAGTCAAGTAGGATTGTCAGGCCCCGACGTTGCTAGGATACTCTCTTCTTCAGCCGTTTACATTTTTTCAAGGAGBTTAGAGAAGCAAATCCTCCCTATGCTAGATTTTCTCAAGACTTTACTTCGTACAGAGAAAAACATCGCCGTAGTCATTAATCGTTTCACTTGGATTTTCCAATATAATGTCCTAGAAGCATTAAAACCCAAAATTTCGATCTTGCGTGATCATGGTGTCCCCGAATCCAATATCTCAAAAATGTTCATGTTGTTGCCTCGTATAATAACTCTGAGTAGCGATCGGTTTAAAGAGTTGGTCAAGGAKATCAGTGAAATGGGTTTCGACCCCTCAAGTACAATGTTTATCAAAGCAGTTAATGTCAAAGCAGGGATGAATAAAGCTAAATGGGAATCTAAATTTGATGTCTATAGGAGCTTTGGTTGGTCTGATGGTGATATTCTTTTGATGTTCAAAAGGAACCCCTACTGCTTTGCTATCTCGGAGAAGAATATCAGGAGTAAGTTGGATTACTTCATGAACAAATTGAACCTGGACCCGGCAGTTCTTTCTAGAAACGTGCCGCTATTTGGGCTTAGCTTGGAGAACAGGGTTATTCCAAGGTTGTCTGTAATTCAGGTTCTGCTCTCCAAGGGATTGATCAAGGAGGATTTAAGCATTGCAACTGTCTTAATACTACCTGATGTCAAAGTTTTTAGAGAAGTTTGTGATGAAGTACCTGGATGAGGCTAGTGATTTATTGAAGGTGTACCGAGGTAAAATATGATTTTTGTGGTTCCAAAAATGTTTCCACGGAAAATTTGTAGAATGTTAATTCACAAATGAAGCAGGGTCTATGATYTTTTATTCGCAGCTTTTTTTTTTTGTAACTTACTGTATATCTTGTTTTGGTAGAGCTTGCTTTCTTTAGATACAGCTAGTAGTCTAGTACTGATATTCATGAGTGATATTCTTAGAAGAATTCCAGAAAATGCATTAACAAGAAGACAAAAATATCAAAAGATTTAAGATAGTTAGCTACAATTTAAATATTTTCTTTCATTATTTACCAATTTCATGACTATCATCTTGAGATGTCTGAAGGTGGAGTGATCACATCGATTTGTCAGAGGCAAAATTCACTTTTTTTGGTCAAGAAGTCTGCATTGTTTGGACCAGTATTGCATGAACTCTCCTAAATGGATGAGCCATTGGTGTCAACCATGTGGCAGACACCAACACTTCATGGATTGTTGAGGGGCACTTAAATGTGGCAGTTTTCATTCTTTCATTGCTTATTTAATATAAATGAACTGGTAATGTATGCATTGAATGCTACTTTTCCTATGAAATATTATCAAGTAACAAAGGTAAGCTTTTGATATTTTTTCCTGTGGGATTACAATGTTAAATTCAACAAAAGTTGAAAAATATAATGTTAGAATTCAACAAAATATGGAGTATTTTAATAGTTTATACTTGTCCATGTCCATGCAACACTTATTTGGACCAACTGGCTCTCTAGATGCTCCTTTATCCTTTATCTGAATTAATGTTCATTTCACTTTTCACCATCTATGCATATGATCTTCAAGGAACTTGGGAGATGCCATCACAAGCTTAATTAATTCAAGTGGAGAAATTTGTAGTAGTATTAGGATGGCAACATTTCTCTAATAGGATTATCTTATTATGGCATCAAGAGAGACCATGAGAGTAGCATTAAGGTTCAAAGTGTTGATATGATGCGCCTGTGTTGTATCTTTTGTTTGCCAATGTGCTATATTTCTTGGCCCCCAATATGCCAAATACAAGGAATCAGGACATCTGGCCATTTTTAGAGGTTAATATCCTCCTGGAGGTGTCTTTACTCAATTCTTGAACTTATTTTTTCTAAGGTTTTTTCCCCTTCTGTTTGAAAGTGTATTGATACTTAACCAAGAGTAGCATGAGTGAAAGCATTAGTAGGGTGAGATTCTGTGACAAAATGTTCTTAGTATGTTTCAGGAGAGTCCATGGAAGCTTGGGGAAAATTGAAGACTTTGTGAAGGCATTCATATCAAGAATTTGGGTTGAATGACTCAGGAGTTTTATGATTGTTATGAAATTACTACTTATACATCTTTGATCACCAGCCAATTTAGAGATTCTGATCATGAATAGACTCTTGATGGAAAGTAACACCATATAAATGAAAACTATAAGAACATCAATGGTTGAACTTGGTGTCCAGGGGCATTTCACGTATGACCTATTGGCTGGTTAGAGATTTATCATGGTTGCGTCTATTTTAAAATGAAATATTGGAGAAAGATGGATGTGCATTCTTTTTTGTGCCTGCCCTATCTTTTACTCCAGAGTGGCACATGTAGAATATCAAATCAAGTTCTAATTGACAAAAAAAAGGCCTCGAGAGGGATATATGGAAAATGATGGCAGGGCTTGCATTATCTTGTACTTGCAGTGCAGTGCTTCAAGTTCTGAGCTAACTTAGAAAAATATCCTATAAACTTGTTGGCTTTCAACTACTCTTGGTGGTATTTAATGATACTTTGCATATTAAATTCCATTTGGTTGAATGACTTATGGTTTTGGTCAGAACTCAACACAGTATTAAAGTGCATCTTTTTGGAAACAAAATTTCATGAATATGATCACTTTGGATGATACAATGCATACTAAAATAGTGAGAAACCTAAATCACCTTTAACAGCACACCCCAAGCAAATACTTTTATATATGGTAGATACAATTCATTTGATGGGCTTGCTTGACTAAGCATA